CCAAAGTTTCGATCCGACTTTGCAGGTCTTCTTCAGAGAGGTGTGTTCAGCTAGTTTCACTTAGAAGTGACATTTTTTTAGAACTATTTTTTTTTATATTGTTTACGTCTTGTTGTAACTTTGAGCGGGCTATGGGAAAAATAATAGTTCGTGGTACAGACTCCTTTTTTCATCAAATTACTAATAACAGCCTGAAACTTCCTGGATAGGTTCTGGTCATCGTAACTTACAACTATTGTCTTTACGAAAACTCTAGGAAAATTGGGGCGTTTTCAATCTGGAAATCGGCAAACTTTGTCTATTTAATTAATTAAGAACTAATAACTCATAAATACTCGTTTGCTTCCCACTTGGATCGTTAAGTAATTTTATCACAAAATCGAGAAAAAAACTGACTAAAAAAATATTGGTCCGTTTGATCTATATTACATCGTTGCTTTGATATGCTGGAGTTTCAATTCAATATTTTTGAAGGCCACTGTTTTTCTCGTTTTTGTGATATAATTATCTTATGATTGAAGTAGAAAACAAATGGGTATTTACGAGTTTTTGATAACTAAGTGTTTTTCTCGTTTTTGTGATAAAATTATCTTACGGTTGAAGTAGAAAACAAATGGATATTTACGAGTTTTTAGTTACTAATTAAATAGACAAAGTTTGCCAATTTCCAGATTGAAAACGCCCCAATTTTCCTAGAGTTTTCGTAATATATTATAGTTGTAGTTTACGATGAGATGAAGCTATTTACGAAGTTTCACGCGAATGTTAATAATTTGATAAAAAGGGTTCTATTATTTGTTTAAAAAATTGTAATAAATGCGTAAAGTTGTTTGTGATCGTTCTTTTAATGTGACATAAAGACATTCAAACGTAAAGAAACAAATCTAGAAATCAATTTTCTTTTTAACGTTCCTAAAAGAAAAATGATGATTCATAGATGAAAAAAAAAACAATAGTGTTACATTGTGATTAATAAAATCCTTCAAATTCTAGGTTATAATTTTTTCTTTTGCCATTATAAACAAAAGACGAATAAAAGACTGATATATCCCTGTGATAACTCATTAGGCTTCAATCCTAACGTATCCTTTCAACTGAAGAGATCAATAAATACAACAAAATGAGAGTCATATTTAAAAGTCTTTAGGCATTCTGACATACAACTGAGAAACTGAGAAGTGGGGTGGAATATGAATTTACAATAAATTGTTATAAAAAAATTTACATTAACCAAATAAAAACAGTGTCTAAATGAAACTCAAATTTGAGAAGTATAAAAATTGGAACATTATAATTTCATTATTTTTGTAGAATATAAAATTATAACATTCAGTCCTTTAAGTGAACCATAACTATTATGCTACACTTAAAAGTATTCAGATATATTTCCATAATTAAATAAATTTTGATAATAATAAACAGTAATTTAATTTATTTTTTTAACAAAATTTTAAGATGTCTCATTCATAAATAAGGTAAAAAGCCGAATAGGTTTAGGATTAGGCTATTTTTTTAGATCATTAAACATAATTTCACTATAGAAAAATTTTTTTTTTTCTTAATAAATGATATTTCACTTTATTGAGCCAGTCCTCAAAACCTCAGATCCTGAATTCTATGCCAGAACTATTAAATATTTATAGCTTATTTACTTTTTTTTTTTTTTTTAAGCCAATATGTTTGTTATCAATTATTGAGATTTTAAAATAATCAAACAAAACAGGTTTTTAAAAAAGCCTACATAGTTCTGTATTCAGTATTCTGTATTCTCTTGTATTGTCTCAGGTATGTCCGCTTTGGTCGTGAATTATGATGTATATTCAGTAAAATGACATAGAATATAGAAATATGTTTCTGGATGTGAGTTTTGAGACAGAGATTTGTAGATAGTGGATAGATTTGACATGGACTATAGTATTAGTGATAGATAAACAGACAGCAACATGGTACAACACAATTAATACACAAAAATAGATTTCAATATAGGCCCACATAGAACTAAATGCGTGCGTCATGCAAAAGTTATCGCCTCAAAACTTAGCAATATATAAGCTTAAGTGGATTATGTACAGACTACATATATACATATATATATAAGACATATTTACATTTACAATAAAGATTTCCTCCTAACGTGTGTAGTGACATGTTTGAGAATGTAATGTTAACCACTTACTCTGACAGTTGATGGTGATTCCGAATAGTCCACGGGCTGGCATCTAAAGGAATACTCGAAAAGCCAACCGCCCATAAGGCACTAGAAATTCAGTTTTAGTTTTTTAAGAAAGGTAAAATGTGAGAATATGTTCGATTAATATTCGCTAGTGTAAAATGGGTATATTATGATATTTTTTATGGCCTTTGTGTGTTGTGTTAGCTGCAACAACACTACACTGTTATTATTAGGCACACACATACACACTCTAGGAACACACATTAAAAAAAATAAAATAATGATAAATGAAACAAAAACATAAACAAACAATACAGAAGCAAGAAAAATCGACATGTTTATAAAAAAAAAAGAAAAAAAAAAGAAAAGAGTTTTCTAATACAAAAGAAAAAAGAAAATCTGTTAATTTATTGATGTAGAAACCAGGCAACACAAAATTATAAATTTCATAAGCTCTTGTATATTAATTTACGAGAGTAAAAATTAAAAAGAAAGAAACAAAACCATTATCATGTTACTTTTGAAAAGCTATTAACATATAAAATATAAGTATGAAACTGTTTGAACGTTGCTTTAAGACTATCTAGATTCAATTAATATTTTTTAGACTGTAGGTGAGTTATTTGAATTTATTGATATTTGAGAGACTTTGCTTTAGAATCTACCAATACTGAAATTATCTTTGAAAACGATTGATAAATGAAACAGAAAAAAAAAAGAAACCAAAAAAAAAAAATATATATATAACGACAATATTCAAGAACTTATGGTATGAAATAATCTGTACATCTTTTCTTTTAAAATTAAAAAAAAAAATCTAAAATATCTGAGCATAATTGAACTAAGTTTCAATATTACAGCCAAAGAAGCGTGGGCCTTTCTATAGATATTTCCTATTAGACTACTGTTCTAAAATGGCTAAAAAATAACTACAAAAATAACTATAAAAATACAAAAGCTAATATGTAAACCTCTGGACGATTTCAATGAAACTTAGTATTTTTGTGTAACTATTACAAATATTTAACCCTTTATAACTTTTTCTTTTTTCATTCAATCTTATCTTGAAAATATCGCTCAAAAACAGGAAGTAGAAAAATTAAAACAAATATGCATACATTATGCTATTATTAATTAGAGTTGGGGTATAGAAAATTAAAATTTTATTCGACTATATTTTATTAGTTAATTTTTTTTTAAATGTGTCAAAATTACTAAAAAGTTTTAGTCATTGATTTTAAATTAAAATTACAATCTACTAAAATTTAGTCAGATGAAAATTTATTTATTATTATTTCTTCATATTTCTTCATATCACGCATTTGCTCAATAATATTAATAAGTTTTGAGTACACGTTTTCAGATTCGAAATTAAGAGACAGAAATTGATAAAATAAAGTTTGAAAATATTAACCTTCTCTTTGTGATTCCGAATGACGAACTGATAATTGGTCTGATTAAAACAATATTAATCAGTCATGATCATTGTTTGGAGATTAAAAATATGATCGTAAATCGCAATCAAATAATATTTGTCCGATTCAATAAGAATTGTTAATTATCAAGATTGGGGTGCATTTGAAACTCCTTCCAGCAGTATATCTTTTAAGAACCAAGATGATATACTGTTCATTTTCTGGAATAATTATTCTAAGTAACCGACAAATCTCGTATTACTTTTCAATAATAATTTTAATACTTCACAGCATTTTATTAAATAATTTTACTTAATACGTGAACATGTATGGTATTTCTGAGAAAACTTTGCCAAAAAAGAAAAAAAATTAAATGGGCAAATAAAATTAAAATTTTCCAGTCATAAAAAGTAACAAAGTTTCACTGAAAAAATGACTCGTACTTGTAATAAAAATACTTAAAACCATTTGTTTTGGTATCAGCGAATCGAGAATGCCGAAATAAATTCTTGTGAAAAAAAATCCATAAACGTAGTAAATTTTTTTTTTTTAATTTAATTTTATTGAGATTTACAACTGTATTATGGAAAATACAATAAGTAAATGTGACATTGGTAACATGACATGTACAACATGAAGAGAAACTACCCATTGGTAGGACTCAAATTAGTAGTAAAAATACAGTGTATGTAATAGTAAGAAATAAATGCTTAAAAACGGCATTCCCGAATTTGTTCTAAATCTACTTCACAGCATTAAAAAAAAAAAAAAAGAAGTAAATTCATATTTCATATTTATTTACTGCTAATGATAATAAAACAGATTTTCTTATTTCTTTAAACAAAAACAATGAAATACCCACATCCTTTATTTCATTAAAAAATATATATGTATATATAAATAGAAAACATTACGAAGACAAATTTATTAGTCAAAGAACTGAAAATACAGTAAGGTGAAAGTGAAGTCACTAAGATACAAAATGTGCTATTTAGTTCAACAGTTGCTAATGTCAAATAAAGACAAAAGTGCTAACAGACAATACCATTTTATGTCTGAGAAAGATGTTAATGGTTTTAATATTAAAATAGATAAATGATTTAAATCAATTATTATATATTTGAAATAAAAAGTGTTATGAAATCCTTCTCGAACATATGGTAATAAAGACTATATTGTTAAAATTTCAACAAAACATTCCAATATACATTAATACTAAGAAAAGTTCAATGTAAGACGAAAAATTATAAGGTGTGTATATTTATAAAGTGCTTGTTAAAGAATATTTCAAGTTGTTAAGTTTGAAGTCTCTGAGATTTATATCAGTACAAGTATTGAAAAGTCATTATGTAGCTTATTGTAGGATCCTGTAACCAAAACTAAAAGCTAAGTGGTTGCTAAACGGGACTCACCTCGTAGAAGAGCCACGCCGAGAAGATCACTTGGAACAGATTATAGAATATGAGGACATGTCTCAGCTGGAAGGGCTTCCTGTTCTCCATCAACTTGGGGCCAACAACCTTGACCAGGTAGATGTAGCTCATGCAGATCATGGCGGTCGGCAAAGGAGAAGACATCAATGGCCAGTCCCTCGTCCGTGGATCTGAAAGAGGAACATCCATCATCAAGAAGATAGAAAATAAAAGTAAAAGAATATTGTGGAAAAGGACGGAAATGAGCATGGGAAGTAGGATTGGTTAAAGGGCAGTTGTGGGGTTGGGAGTGTGGCCTGAGATCACGGTAGCGTGACGTATATGGCTGCCAAACACGATGCTATCAAACCATTTCTCAGCTTTATCGTATAAACATTAATGAAAGGAAATAAACAAATTTTAAACTATTTATTTCTATTCAAAGACGACAGATTAAGAGAAAAAAAAATGAAGATATTTTTGGATAGATGTATTTGAAGCTGGAAATACCAGTAAAAGCTAATAAATACAATATTAGATTATCAACGGTTATATAATATTAACACTACATTGGGTTCCAACCAAAATTTTTGTACAAATTTCCATGATATTTCTAGATTTTCTCGATCATTTTTATAAAATAAGTCCATCGAAATAGTTTGAATATAAATAATTTATTAATCTTAATAAAGACGATTTTATATAATACTTTATGATACTATAAATACTTTATATGATAGTTTAAAATAAATTGTTGCAGTATGGGACTTCAAGGGAAGTCTTGGGCCGAGGAGGAAAAAAAAATTAATTGTCAATCAATATAACTTTGTTATAAATAATGATATCATCTTTTGTCATGAAGCAAGATAACAGAAATAGGTTCGCCTTCTGACTAAATTTTTATTATAGAGTGATTTTGATTAATAATCATTTTATAGAATTGGTACAGTATTTTACATTTAAATAATGAAACCCTCAGCATTGCAAGACTTTTAAAAAATAGTAAATTTTTAAATCTTTGAATGCAAGATGCTAAATAAAGATTAAATATCCTTTATTTTGTAAACAAATGAAAATATCCTTGGCGTTTAAGTTAAATATGTAATTTCAGTTACTTAGGAGTTCTAATTTTTGAGATAGGCTGTTCACATATCCATACAAAGAGGCCTATGCGATCCTTTCTACTGTAATTATTTAAAAAAAAAACAACCTTAACTTCCATTTCCAAAAAATAATAGTCGATATTACCTCGTACTCCCAGCAAAAATATCCTCGCCCATTGGAGCGCGACGATTCTAATCGTCTGGTGAGAGATGTGTTCAGTAGAGCATGGGAACAATGTACGAGGGATGGATAAGCTATGGGATGAGGGTTCGAATCCTGATAAGAGCAGTCATTATCAATAAATCCGATATTTGAAAGTTCCTCGATATTCAATACTGGAGTTTTTATTGATAATTCTATCTTTGTTGTAATCACGAATTGAAGTTTTTGTAAACTGCTTATATACTTTGTGTGCTATTCCAAATATCGTTTATAGTTTATTATATATACGAAAGATATAAAAATTTCAGAACCATAACTAGAGCTCTACGTCACTAACGTTCCTTTACATACAGAACTTCAAATACCAACAGTTAACAACCACACACGAGCACACTACAAACGATTTTACGGTAATTTACACGGACATACTAACACACTCATATAAGGTATGGCAATAATTAACGCCAGCAATAATACGTTCAAGGGACTCAAAAGAAGCTGGATGAGGGATCTTCTCGCTTAAACATGAATAATAAAATAGAGATAGAAAGGGAATTTCCCTCTTCCACGCCTATCAACACTTCACTACTATTTTTCCTTTCAGCAAACTTACTTGTCAGAATTTCTAACTGATGTGGGTGAGGAGTGAGCGGGGTTTTACACCGACAACCTGATAAATTTAAGATAACATGATGAAATAATTACAAGTTGCCGTCCCGGTGCCGAAGGGGAGAGCAGGATGCTTTTAACTCTGTCATCAATTCCCCGCCCTCTCCTCTGGCCAAAAAAGGTGAGGAAAGGAAACGAAAAAAGTGGGAGATGTGAGAGGAAGAAATAAAATTAAAAAAAAATTATTATCATTTTTGGCATGACCTCAATCAATCATGAAAATGTATAATCTAGATGTTAAGTATAGTGCATTATATAGGGCATAACAATGTTCAGTTTTATTGGTATTAAAACATGCCAAGAACAGACGGTATCTTCTACTACAAATATGTTGGCCTTCAGTAACATATCATTGGGGGGGGGAGGGGTCAAAGTGTTACATATCACCGAGTCTAAGAATAACAAGATGGATCTTTTCCATTTCTTCTCGGGGCTGAAGGTATTGAAAAATAAATATCAATAGGTTGGACCCAAATATGATTTGTCAAAAATTTCATTACAGGAGCATACATCTAGGTTTTATAGGGCATTTCAAGACGGATGAACATATGTCATATTGTTAAAGCAATGCAAGACTGTTAAACATATATCTTATTTTAAAGGATATTTCAAGACGGTTGAACATATGATCGGCTTCATATCAAGGACGGACATATGTCATTTTGAGAATGTGCGGAAAGTCAATTAATGATTTATACGTTCAACTTAAACTGTTTCTGATGATTTTATTTTAAAATTTTGAAGTTGAATCATGGAAAAAATTACTAGAGTTTAAATTGAAGCTATGTTACAAAAACTGGCATTTTCTCTACTTTATAAAAACAGATATCCGTCTTTGATATACAGACACTCCTATGTTCAATGAGCATATATCTTGTTTATAAAATGAGTATGAAGAAGTGCTAAATTCAAAATTCAACCTGCGTTCTTCGAGATGAGATTTTAAGAGAATAGATACTGATCATCATTTTGTACTGAATGTTACGATCTGCAAGTCTTGATATAACTTATCAATATTCTAATGGGTTGTCCCAGTTTCTCTGAGAGGACGTCAAGTCAGGCCATTAATTTGCATATTATTCATTTATTTTTAGAAAGGCACAATTCACTAGGTCATATTTTCAGGACCTGTTCTACATACACGAAATATATCGATCTATATTGATTTCTTAGGCAATATGATTTCTTGGAGATGGCATGCGTTGTGAAATATGGAGAGATCAGTTCTCCCGTGTTGTTGAACGGTACCTGACTGAACTGAACCTCATTACAATACCAATCTAATATTGAAAGATTGCATGAGTAATCAGTTACAATTAATTATATTTTAATACTAATAATCGTTTTTTTAGATACGTTAAGATCGATACTTGGCTGATTTCAATTAAAATCCATGAAGATATAAAATATTTGAGGCAAATTTCTTTTCAAAATATGATTTATTCATTTACATCTATAATGGATACATACATCATTGAACTATTTACATGAAAAAAGTATACAATTTGTCTATACACCTCTGTTAAAACCCACCAAATAACAAGTAAACAAGTTTATCATGCCAACAGTCCAAACATTGGAGTTTTACTCTGAAATTATAAATTTTACGGATAAAATTGGCTTGTCCTACTGAAAATATATGATTTGAATCTGTTCCATATATATATTCCCGAACAATTAATTATTTATACCACCAAACGTTGAATTATTAATTTATGTAATTGAGGATTATTATATTTAGTCCTGGTTAACATATATTTGCATAGGTGAACTATTCCGGTTGGGAAGACAATGGTACCCTGGGGATTTGTCGAGAAGCTAATTGATCCGCAACAATGTCGAATGGGATTACATATTCACACTACTTTCATTGAGAATATATGTCGGGAGTTTCATTGCATAGCTCTCTGGAGCTTATGTAAATTATCTCCAATATCGAAGAGAAAGGTGACTAAAATATGCGATTATTTGATTTCAGAGCACATAATATTAAACTTGCAACAGAATTCTTTTAATGTAACATACATTGAGAATTGAAAAAAAAATTAAAATAGAGCCAGATCGAGCCATATATAATGCCTTACAAGGAGACCCCTACATAACATGTATGACGCCCCCCCCTCCGATATTTTCATCGTCTAGTTTAAATAGCGAGACTAATAAAAAATAATCAACATTAACAAGCTATTTAATGAAAGTGATTGGATCATATTTGCTAGGGGCTCTGAACCAGGGTTTGACACTTTTTGAAAAAGTTCTATTTTAATAGTTTCTGACCCTCATACTAGACTGAAACGACCAGAAACAGCCTAACGTTTTCGACTGCAGCACTTACTAGACAAACGCTCCAAGCTTTCATTCAATTACAAACGACTCATATATATGACAATAATAAGAACTATTTGGACTTACGGGATCGAGCTTTGGGGCTCTACTAAACCAACAAATTCCTCTCGTATCCAATCCCTACAATCCACAATCCTTCGTAAAATCCTCAATGCTCCCTAGTCTGTCACAAATAAAATCATCCATAAAGACCTTAATGTTCCATATGTTTCCGATTTGGCCCAATCCAGATACCTGCCCTTCCATAACAAACTGCAGAACCATCCGAATCCTCTTGTTTCTAGAAGGATATTTTCCAGTGGGATTTGCTAATTACTTGTTAAATGAATTGTTACATTAACAGTATTAATCAATAAACTCATATTGATGATATTATATTTTAAAAATCAACCCATACTTACATTATTTTGTTATTTATTTTTTACTTAATTTCTTTTTTGTTTTTTTTATTTAAATAATGTTTTTTTTCAAAATTGTGTTATTTTTATTTGATTTAATATACTTTTACTGAAGATACTGTATATATTCTTTAATGTTGTTTAATGTAATTTTTGGCCAGATGTAGTTTTTATTTTTTTGTTCATAACTGTTATTCATAAGGGACCTCGTCCCAGAATAAAGTTTATTTTCTATCTATCTATCTATCTATTTATGTATTACATATAAAAAATATATTCTTCCGTCCTTGAAAACCATTTGGGTTCGCTGCAGTACTCCAAAAACCATTGAAATTACGAGTGTTTTTTTTTGTTTACGCTAAATATCTCCCTTTTAGAGCGAAATAGATAACAAATGGTCATATTAAACTGGGCAACATGGTTCGGAAGTAGGGAAACTATCCTTTATTCTACAAGCGATTTCTTTGAGAGGCTCGGGGATGGAAGCAAGCACAAGATCTAAGGATGGAGAT